GACGGATTAATCACATGCAGACAGACTCTGAGGTCTTTTTCTTTGGATAAGACAGATAATCTGGGCAAAAGTGACTACAAAGAGACGAGAACTGGGCCTCGGTCAACCTCTCCGGGCTTCGGTCCCGTCGGGGCCAATCAATTCACAATTGCCTCGCCATTATGTCGCTAACTCGTCTTGGAATCTTCTACGAGGCGAGTTAAAACTGGGAATATGTGCCAGTACAGGCTGGGGGATACGAGATTCGTTTGAGTGTGCATGTTTATATGCAAGTAGGCCTGAGGAGAAAAGGAAACTTCCTTACCTTCCAGCAAAGCACTTATCCATCCTGAGCGTCTGCCGGTCGGTAATGCGTGTCTACAGATGCCTGCGTGTGCCTCAGAGAAAGGGTCGGACGTGTGCATGTCTGTATGCGTATGTGTGTGTGTGTGTGTGCAACGCATACTTATGTGTCTGGTTGTCGTACTATACATTCCTGAGGCCTCCGACTGGCGAATTTCTTGGCGGAAACTTCCGCCGTGATCGACCTACGCATTTTCCAACTTTTGTGTACCCAGAGAGGCAGAAGCGAGATTCACTTTCTGGCATTTAACACCTTGGCGACTACCTCACAGGTCGGTATAACTCGAATTGCAGCTTCCCGTTCATACGAACTGAGCTTCTGCTATCTTTTTCTCAAAATCAGGTTGTAGCCAGAGCTGATTTTTCTTCTGTTGTCTATACGCATTATCTCTTGCATCCTTTCACAGAAGCCCCTTAGCAATGCCATCGGAAATATGCCCCAAATGTCAGAAGGCGGTGTATGCCGCAGAGAAAAAGCTGGCCGGTGGAAAGTCATGGCACTCGATGTGTTTGAAATGTGGTAAGTCGAGACAATATAATTGGACACATTTTCTGAAACAGTTTACAAAAGGCTGACTAGGCAAGCTGAAGTTTTGAGCCATTCTGTATGGTTGCTGTCCCTTTTTACCCCGTTGACCCTGTTGAATCCACTTTTCGTGACAACTCCCTTCTACCGGGGGACTTGAGAAAACGTGTCTGGAGATGATTCCTTCGCTGAGGCCGCTTTGTACTGTGTCCACATTGTTTCTCTGAGCTAGACAATCTCCAGACATTTGGCTGACTGTTAAAAAGCAGATGTGTTCACAGTATTTCGTTTCCATTGCATTTCACAAAACCTTGTTTTCCAAAGCGGCACTCAAATCATGACAATGCAGTGTGTAATCTCGACACGTTAATCACTAAGCCACATTGCCACGAGTGTCTTTGGATCACAAAGCAAATACTCATTGCAAGGAAGGATAGACATTTTTCCTTATCGCACTCTGAGGTGTGATTGTCGATGAAGCAAACTTATATTTACCATAACAATCGACTGTCTCGCTTATTTTTCGTTTATGAGTAGATTTTCGAGATAAATGAAGTGTTTAATAGCAGTGTCCGGTTGGCCATTATTTGCATCAATTACGCATACATCGGAATTGGGAAGCGTATCCTAAAAGTGCCAGATGGAATGCAGGCGAAGACAGTTGAGTATCGCTAAAGTCATGTGATTTAGTTTTGCCAGAGACATTTTAAGATGTCACATTAGGTCATGCAGGATTATTATGAAATAGGAGCAGGAAATTTTTTTACTTAGCCGAGTATATTCTTTCCAGAGCATTCTTGGGGCCTTTCGTTAACGTTTGCCTAGAAATGTACCTTTAAATTAAACGTTTTTAAAATGCACACCTACGAAGTAGAAAACAACTCTTTTAATTTTGTAATTATACGATTGCGGCATTCTTTTGGCGATAGTACAACCATTTATCTATGTTCTCCATGAGTGCTACCAAATCCATAGAAAGTTCACGAAAACGATTAATAATTTACTGTATTATTATTTGAATTTATTTTACTATTTATAGTACAAGAATTTGATCCACCTCTTAGTAGAGTGCTCAATTAATATCCCTTTACCTGCCTTTAAAATATGGGGAAAAAATCTTAATTTATTTTCTAAGCTCTTTAAAAATGTCCCTTAAAATCAAGCGTCAGCGGAGGATAGAACTTGGAAGAAGACCGAATTGCACATAATTCCAAACCAACTCATTACAACTATTTTGGGTCAAAAACATATATCACTCAGGGCGCACGTGGTAGATAACGCAAAATTTCTGTATAGAATATATTTTAACTAAATACTCTAACTACCCTAGATCGCATAAGAAAATAAAGATCTGAAACTGGAATTTTCTAGCAATACTCTAAGTAGGCTTTACGGTGCCAATGAATTTCATTTAGATTTGCCTCCTAAAAGGTTGACGGCAATTTCGACTTAACTTGGGTCGCCTCCCAGTCTAGAATAAAGCTCATGTAGTGCAACGTATATTTTTGAAAGGTTATCGGTGTCTCCAGAGTTGCGTTGGCATGGTGGTAATTTCAAATAATGAACGTTGCACTACTTAGGTTAAGTCCCCGATTGGAGTGCTGAATAAGCCGATGTTCTATCGAAGTAACAGCACCCCTGGAACATAATACCTTTTGGGCGGTAAGTCTAAGCGAAATTAAACGGCATTGAGAATCTCATTCATATCATTGACGAGAAATGCAAACTTCCGACTTTCGTTTCTTTATGTGTCCCAGAATGTATGGAGATATTCACACTTTAATGTGAAAAAACTGGTATCATAGCAATATGCATAATCGTGGTCAGCCTCACTTGTGTTTGAATTGGCGGTAGCACCAGCTTAAGAAACTTTCTTAGCAATCTGAATAATGCTATCGTTAGCATATTTGCTAATCGTATGCGACTCGCTGGTTTTTCCTTAATAACAGCCCAATTTTTTTAGGAATGTGTAATAAGATGCTGGACAGTACCACTGTGGCGGAGCACGACAAAGAAGTGTATTGCAAGCAGTGCCATGGCCGTAAATTCGGAATTAAGGGTTACGGATTTGGAGGAGGATCGGGAGCTCTAAACATGGACAAAGGGGAAAAGTTCGGTGGAAGAGATGGTGGCGAATCCAGGTAAGATTATGGTTACACAATTACTAATCAAATAGTTTACCAATATATGTTTGTCGTTCACAACTCTCTTGACGAATTTAGACTATTAATCTTGCATTGGAAGTCACCAACACAATGTTATCACAAATTTTACCTCGAGCAGGTGGCAAGGCCCACCTCATATTATCGTATTTGCAGCTTGATCATGACATTTGATAAAGTGTATTTAAAGTGACAACAACCCTCTCACTCCTAGCGATTCATTTATATTTAAAAAAAATTAATTTAGTAAAATTATATCTAATTTAACTCGGCGACTCTAAAGAATTGACGGTAAGTGAAATAATAGGAGTTGTTGGGGGGACCTTCATTTCATATTGAAATGAATGAAGAAGATATTCATGGATAGAATTCACCAGAAGACAACGACTAAATCCCGTTGTGCTGCAACCGTTTGGCTTCTATACGACGTTCAGGGTGACGCAGTCCACGAGACCTCTCTTATCTTCCTTTTGACACCA